CTGACACTTAGTGAGTTCCCTGACACACCGGGGACACATATTCATGTAGAAAAGACGTACAAAAGTGCATTTTGCATGATAGGTCCCCTTTAAGTTGCTTTAGATTACACGTTGTAGTTCTCTATCTTAAAGGTCCCATGACATGGCCATTTCTTCTGATCATAATTCCATTGTTGAGGTCTACTAGAATAGATTTATATTGTGCAATTTTCCAAACTCACATTGGTTTCTCATCTCTGTATAGTATGTGTATTCACTCTCTGTCCTAACCAGCTTGTTGGAGCTTTTAGAGAAGCAAAAGCTTTTCAATTCAACTGTACCTCGGGCAATTTGATGATAACAGTCAGATTTTTAATACACTTTTACATCTTCAGTTATCTTTGTGCCGCTAAACCAGCCGAAAAATAAATATGTTTAATCTTACATGCATGTGTTCTAATTTCCTTTCAGACCAGTTATTTTAATTCACCAACCCAACCTCCCTCTCTTTCCTGCAGACTACTTTTCATATGTAAATTTTAACCTTTCTCAAATGCTAACACCTTTAAAGGAACCCAGATAAGACTGTCGCAGTGCTTACTCAGAAGTTGATTGAGTCTTCCACCAGACAGTCTGATGTTCTTCAAATCCGCATTTCAGACACTCATTTAATCGCATCAGTGTTTTTTAAACTGCTGTTTCCAAGATCAAAAATAAAGTTTTTGGGTTGTCAAAGTACCTAGAATCAAATGTTTTTTTAAAAAAAAAAAAAAAATCTTTTAAATGCATCTGCCACTGGGTTCTTGTGACATTGAGTCTCATGCAGGAAGTTATATAATGACAAATCCTTTTATTTTGATATTAACAGAAAATATAACATACATTTAAGAGGATTTAGTGGCATGTGGACAGACAAGCTGTACTGTATCAGTAATGTTTAGTGAAATATGTTGACAAGAAAAACTGAGGTAGAAAGAAACTTTAAAATTGGTGCAGTATTTATGCATGATATTTGTGGGTGTTGTTGCAAAGATTTGAATAGAAATGCTTCCTTCAATCTGAAATAAAACTGTTGTTAGGCTTTTGGGGGTTTTCCCTTTCCTGTAGTTCGTTCCTGCCCGAAATTCCTCCATTGGACTCCTTTGTTTACTTCTGTAATATAGTGACATCACTTTGTTTGGGCTCTGGTTACAGACAGAGGGTGAAAAGACGTTCTGCACCACAGGCAGAACAATACTTGAGAATTGATTGAATGATTAAGTATTTGAAAATAAGTATTTGAAAATAAGACTTAGGTAGGCTACAACACTTGAGTAAATGTAGTAGCCTACTGTGTTTCGTTGTTCTACCAGTACATGCCCAGTAAATCCCCACCCCCCCCAGACCACATGTTTATGGATCGGAAGCGCCGCCTCTGAAAAATGATCCTGTGGCTGAAACGCGTTGGGAAAGATGAATGAACCTCCCCTCCGAAAACCTCCTCAGTGACTCACAGCTGACTGAAAACAGTCTCCCAATTCCAGAGAGAGTCTTCACCCGAGAGGACGTTCACCGTAGAGCAGCCTGCAGCACACACACACTCTCTCTCTCTCACACAGACACACACACACACACAGCGTGCAACAAGCTCATTTTACGCGTAAAAAATCCAAGGCATTGTTCGGCAACGTTGCGTAAGAGAAACTGATATTAAGCAGGGCGGCTGCAGATCTGCACTGGGACTTTACTCGAAGGGAGAAAAAAGACAAGAAGAAGGAAAAAAGAAAATATTTCTGCTCGTCTGCAGTTTGGAAAAAGAACAAAAATGTCTAAACCTGATTTCTCCGGAACGTTTAATATGGTGGAGCAGACTAACATGGACTCCTACCTCGGAGCATTAGGTAAGACTTTAAATCTTATTAGCTGCACTTTAAACAGACTTATTGTATTTATCAAACCTCCCCATTAACACACACACATTCAGACTTATGTTGCACTTTGTATTTTAAACTATTTTCATTGCTTTGTAGTCGTCTTTTTAATCTTAAATCACTAGATACGATGCTCGAATCTTGATTTGCATCTGCACATTAGTCAAAGGAAATCACCACCATGTCCTCTCTGTGACCCCATACACTCAGAGGGGTGTATCATCAGTCTGCACTGTGACAAGACAAAGCCCCCCTTTAGCATAGAGCAACAGTGAAGTATAGCTCATGTTTTATTAATCCTGTTGTTATTAATCTTCTCCCAGATATTAATTTCGCCCTGAGGAAGATAGTGTGCCTGTTGAGTCCCAGCAAAGAGATCACCCACAACCTGGCCAGCGGGGACATGAGGATCCGGACCCTCACCACCTTCAAGAACTTCATCATGGAGTTCACCATCGGGAAAGAGTTCACTGAAGACCTGGGACCAGTGGACGGCCGTACCTGTCAGGTGTGTGTGTGTGTTGTTGTTTCTGAATATGCAGTTTGACTTGTTTGGACACGTACATCCTTGATATGGTGAGTATCATTTCTTGTTATGAAAGTTTGCTTTGCATGTTTTTTTAATTTAGGAAGGTCTGCAGGAAAGTCCACAGACATACCGCTGAGTTTTTGTGTTGAAATCAACCCCTGCTGCTTTAATCCTGCCTTGACCCCACACTGAAGGATGTGTGTGAGAAGGCAGCTAATAACAAACAGAAAAATCCCTCTCTTTCGACACAGTCTTCAGTTTCAAAATCCATTCAGGAACCAGAATAAGCAGCAGTATCATACAGGGGTCAAGCGAATTGAAAAAAAGAGCAAAGAAAAGAGAAAAAAAAGGTTTCGATATCAGGAAAGAAGAAAGTCATCAAACATTTCTTTGCTGACTAAAAACCAATCTGTTTTGACGACGCCTTGGCCCAAACAAAACTAATCATTTCAGTATGTTGCTCATCTCATGTACTTGCAGGATTGTGGTTTGTATCCTAATGCTTGATTGCTCTCTTTGTAAGCAGCTTTGGATTCCAGCTATAGCTTATTGTAATGTAATGTAACTCATGGCCACATGCATTGCACAGTCTCATGAGAGCTGCTTGACACAGTGAAGTCACGCACTAACACTCCCTCTCTGTGCCTCTGCAGACTACCGTGAGCTGGGAGGGAGACAACCTGCTCTGTGTACAGAAAGGAGAGAAAGAAGGACGAGGATGGACACACTGGCTGGAGGGGGACAAGCTGCATTTGGTAAGGATGTGTGGATGGAAGGAGAGGGGGGATATGGAACTAGGAAATTAAAAACGTTAGGGGGTTAGATGCCAAAATGGATTAGCTAAATGAGAGAGAACATGTAAATAAGACAGGGTTTGGAAGTTTCTTTATTATGTGGCACTTTGCCGTCTTAGTGGGAAGAATTTCTCAATTTGAAGGTTTGTAAAGTGTTGTGCATGCCTGAGGGGGGAAGGTAGGACCCTACAAAGGAAGGCCAGCACAAAAGAGGCTTGAAAGGACGTCTTAATAAAGTGCCTCAAGACCAAGCCAGAGCATCGGTCTTCACATTTTGCTTTAAAAGACTTAAAGATAATCTGTCAATGCTCATTAAGATGTTACACAGTCAGCATTGTTCCGCTAAATAGCTTTTGCTGGATTGTGTAAACAGGTTCTTAGAGTTAAGACAAAGAAATGTGTTGTTGCAACCAAACTCAGGAGGGACTTTAGAAAGAAAATGCCAGCTTAGATGAGGCCGCTGGATTTTAGAGTGGATTGAAGGAGAAAGGGAGCAGCGTGAGAATAATGAAGAGTGAGGGGGAGATGGGGGAGGGAGAGATAAGTAGATGGGGAAAGAGTGGGAGGCTGATCACGAGGTCAAAGGATGACGGGGATGTATTTTGGATACAATCCCAGGTTTGTGTTTCACTCATTTCACTTTTCTTTGATGTGCCAAACCGTCCCATTGATTCTCACTCTTCATTTGAACACCCCCCCCCTTTATCTCCCCCTTGTCCTCTCTGCAGGAGATGAGAGTCGCAGGCATCACTGCCAAGCAAGTCTTCAAGAAGGCTTAATGAAGTAACGGCAACAAAAATGTATCGAATGAATTCTTAATGAAATATAGAGACGGACTTGGAACAAGATTTGAATCATGTTTATTGTTTTTAACATAAGAATTAGCATTATGTGAAAATACCGATATGTAATCTTAATTGTCTCTGTGTTGTGGTACTAACAGGAGCAGAATGACTTGTGTAAACATCCCCTACATACTTCCTTATATTGCACCATCTATCTTCACAATGCTATAAACAAATCATACACATGTCAGTCGTCGCTGTTGCATCATTCTCCAAGGTTTTAAACGTGGTATTGCTGCATATCTTCATTTATTTAAGTCTTAAGAATAATAAGGAATCAGGGGTCAAAATGTGCTTTAAAAATACTTTTAAAGAAGATTTTCTGGCAATTGTTTTAACCTGTGTGTGTGGTATTGCTGCACATCTTAACGTTGTATATAGTTTCATAAATACTAAAATGTAGGGGTAATTACATTGACTTTCAAAAACAACAACTTCCATGTATAATTCACAACCTGCATCAATGGCTGGGGTTGGAACAATACAAGTACAATCTGATATCCTACACATTTTAATTACAAAAAACATTCTTTACATTAAGCATTACACAATTCTTATATTCATATTCTTAACAAATCCCATGGAAAGGCCAACAATGGGTTAATCATCAGTCTCTCCGTTTCTCACCCTTTGGCACTCAGCCCAAACCCATTTGTTCTTAGGAATGTGTAACATTATTAAAAAAACACCCGGGTCTTGCCAACAAATATTTGATTTCATTTAAAATAAAAGAAGTCTCACTCTATTCTGAAACAGCTGGGCATTGTAGTTTGTAGCAATAGTTGCTGAAACAGGACCAAATACAGCATTTATCCGGGTCTATTTTCTTCTGCGGATTATTTTACATTAACAGTATAATAACAGCAAAGAAATGAAGTGCCTAGGTTCATCCTGATAATGGAGTAACATGTTATCCTGTTCGTTCAGTGTGCTCAACAATGGAGCTTGAAGGCCCAAATGAATCAGATGTTTGTATAGTTGTTGGAAGGATACACCCATTGTTGGCTTTGGCCTTTTGGTGGGATTTGCCTTGAGTAAGAAAAATATTCCCAAACCACTGAGCTGTAGCTGAAACCACAGACAGGGTTTTTTTATTCACATCAAACGGACTGACTCAGGAACAGAGCTGCAGCAGTGTTTACAAAAACATACTCTTTAAAGCTGTTAGCTTCATTGTAAATTATTCACAAACATATCACGGAAATTCTCAGTAAAGTCCTGCAGGGGGCAGCAAACATTCAGCAACCCTTAAAAGGTCACCTATTATGCTGTTTTTCATCAATATATTATAGTTCTCAGATACAGAACATGTCTCTGAAGTGTTTGGCTCCAAACACCAAACAGAGCATTACCCATAATCCCCTCTGTTTCAGCCCTGTTTCCAAAGTGATGATTCTGTCTGTTACTTTAGATGAAAATAAGGAGCCCCTCCCCACGCCCCTCTGAGAGAGATTTGGTTAAAAAGAACACAATGGTGCTCTAGGAGGAGATTCAGGTGATAAGGTGGGGGTGGGTTACCTTGGTTGCTGATTGGCTAATGGTTACACAAGCAAAAACATCGTTATGACATCATAAAGTGGCCAAAATCTGATCAGCTCATTTTCAGACAGGGTTTTATATAAATGGATCAGGACAAAAAGAGAAAGAATCTTTGTTCCTGAAACTTTCAGAATCTCTTTACGCAGAGGGGACACATGGTTAAGTATAAAATACATGTAAAAGTGGATTTTGCATAATAGATACAAAGTTTTGGGGAACAAATTGTTTTTTGGGGTTTTGAAAACTTGTTGCAGCAACTCCAAGCCGGAGAATGACTCTGAGCTCCATCATTCACTGTAACAACAACAACATGTACTTGTTTATGTCCCACACCACTCGTCCTCCTGTGGCTCAGAGACGGTCCTGAGGATACCGGTGCAGTATCCGGCACTTCCATTGGTGTGACTGGATTCAGCAAAAGACACCGAGGCCTTCAGTGGAGTTTTGGGATGATAGCTGTTCACACTGTCCTGTGTGCTGCAGCTAACCTCATAGTCTTCTGAGGAGGACATTAAAATCAATATTCAGTGTGAACATACGTCAAAGTAATAGTACATCAAACAGGCTTTGCACTTTATGTGAGTTATGTCCATCTTAATGGGGCTAAAAGCATTTATGATTAAGGGGAATCATTACAGACTACGGCTGGAAACGAGATTTAATTTGTCATTAATAATGGCTACAGATGGTTGGAGCTAATAACATAGTGGGAGTCACAAAATCCTATGGTCACTGCTTTTATTAAGAAAGAGTTTACAGTAAAAAGGTCAGTAGCTGCTATAATACACTAGTTTTATAATTATGTTTAAAATGAGCTTGGCTTTAGAGGAAGCTATGTGGAAATTGATGAGCCCACAATGTCAACAAATGTCCAAACAACACTGCGCATGTCCAAAACAAATGACCTGTTAACTAGCTGCAATCTGATTGACTACTCGTCAAGCGTTGCCCCGGTGATTATTTTATGAAAGTAATGAGCGGCCACCTTGAACGATGATTTATCTTCTACGAAACACATTTAGTCTATTATAGAAGTCTGTTTTCGGAATAATTACTTGAGTTTGAACACGTCGGGGACTACGACTCGCATAGAGCTGTTATAAACCAACTTCTGTTAAAAAAAGAAGCGTATTTAACATGAAGCGAATTGGCTAACGGCTAACTGCTAGCTTGTCAGTTAAGACGCTTTTGTAGTGCCGAGGATATGGAGTCAGAGGCGGTGCAAGGAAGGTGCAGAAATAGTAATTAACAAGCTGCAAGGGACATGTTGTCGGGTCGCAGCCCGGGTCGACAAGAGAGAGCCAAGAGGGCACACACTATATATAGGTAACCCCTAACATGTCCGTGTGCAACTGTAGTTCCTAGTTTGAATTGTGTCCGTGGTTAAATAGGTGGTCACCACACAAGCCCCCCCAGAATCAGCGGCGCCGGATTCATTTCAGAAGTGGGGGGGCCAAAAAGTGTGTGTGTGTGTATGTGAAAGAAATGCTAAATCTACAGTGGTAATCAGTCCGCCAGTGCCTCCGCCAGGGCGGAGTGGTAATCACTCCGCCTCTCTGGCTACAGGAGGTAATGCAATTCATGAAACTTATTTAAAGAAATTCAAGAAATTGACATAAATTATTTATTCAACCGATGAACAATAGTTGTAATACAGTTACGAAAAGGACGAAGAGCCACTCGAACTGGCCTGGCTGGGGCGTAATATTAACTGTATAATAAAATAGGTCTTCCAATGAAACTATTGGTTAATAACACCTAACACAAGCTGTGATGTCATGTAATCAAAATCACATGACTCAAATGTCCAATCACAGGTGAGGGTGGAGGCGGAGCACCCTTCAAACAAATGTCCGACATTAGGCTAAATCTACACAATCTTCCTAGATTTTGCCGAAGTAAACCTCCCTTTGCTCACTGGCAAAGCAGAAGCTCCGGAGCACTTTTTTGAGGTCCAGGCCGTCGGTCAAATCTTTGTGGATGTGGAGGAAGAGAAGGTGATTTAAGCAGCGCTCGGACATTGTTGAACGGAGGAACGTCTTCAACCGACGGGGGCTGGAGAAGCTCCGCTCCGCTCAGCTGTTGCATTTGACATTGGCACAGTCAAATACAGCCATGGAAGTTTATCCACTTCACTGAAGAGGGATTGCGTGCCTCGTCCCTGTGCCGCCAGCATGTCGGTGAATGTGGACACCTTTGTCACCTGCATGATGGGTCTTTCAGCGGCGGAACTACTGTTGTGTGCCTGCAAAACTGCTGGAAACAGTGACAACTGGGTGGACAGCCGTCCCATGTCAATATCACCTGTGTACATGTCGACCAGATTTTGGGGGATGTTGATGCTGCCGAAACCTACGATCTCCGTGGTCTTGTCCCACTTCTGTGGTTTTGTTTTGTAGTCCTCATGTCGATTCCTTGGAAAGGGGGGGTTTATGGTATGAATCGTCTATGACGGTTTTTTTAATTTCGGTCCTACTTTAACTTTCCGTTCTTCCTCGATTCAAACATCGACAACCAATGTAATTCTTTGGCTGTTACAAAGGTGTCTTACACCTTTCCCTTCGGTCAACCGTATAGATACGTTCAGTCGGCTGTATATAAAACCTGGAAGTGGGTCCCTCCCCCCTTTTTCGTCGGAAAGTCGAACGACACCGTGCGTTGTAGTTCCACCGGGACCCTCAGAACCTATGCTCGATGTCGTCGGGCCGACACTAACCAAATGACGCAAAAACTTCTCCGTGGGTAAGAGAAAAGTAGTCCGTCGGTCTTCGGTGTTTCGAGAACGAGCACGGTGCTCGATGGTTATTCCACTTGCAGTGCGGAAGAAACTGTTGGAACTTTTACCACGTACGGCGTCCGGTGTTAAAGGGAGTCCACTTGTTAAGACTTATCCTGCTCTGTCCATATGTGTTGACAGGTATCTGGCCTTTTCCAGTTAAACGGTCCGCCCCTCCATGTTCGTTCACCCCAGGGTAATGGAGACGGACTCGCTCCCTGTCGAAGCACTGAGCGAGACCACGGCAAAGTAGGTGTCCCTTGTCGTAAGGAGGTATAAAAAAACAGAAGGTGTCTTCCCCCCGTAAAAGTCCCTGTAAATAAGTCTTACCCTAGGGATGCCCAACGATTTTCCTCCACGTTTGGTAGTCCTACCTACTTTCTTCCTGTAAAGTAACTATTAAGGAACTTCGTAAAACACCCGTTGTGTTTTACGTGTGTTTCTCTTGTTTATAGAAGATTACGGAACTGTTGGTACTCAGGGGTAGAGAGAGTAGCCACCGAACTTGATACGTTTCTCTTACCCCACAGCAGTACCGACCAGTAAAGGGAGGGTTACAAGGTGGCCGAGTCGCGGAGACTTGGCGTTGTCACATTTACCGGTAGGATTTCTCCATAGAGTTGTGCGAACGCTCCCGTACCTTACGAAATTGTTGGGGGACCGTTGGTCACCAGTTTAGATACTCCTTACACGACCGCAACAGCGGTGTGTCGGTAATGGGAACCGACGTTCGGGTTACTTGTCGGTTCGACCCTAAGTCCCACTGTCCTTAAAAGGGGGAAGTTGTCTCTCACACAAGTCTCGGTCCGTGAAACGGGGTACGAAAACAATGTCTGGCCCGTTTGGGTCAGGTTGATCGTTTAGAACAACG